GACACATTCAGCTAATAATGCTTACAGCTCTGTGTCTCTTTGACTGAAAAGTTTGTAAAATACTGTTGCTGTTAACATTCCGAAACAACAAGACAACAATAAAAACGCACCAAAAAACCATAAAAAACTACGTAACACATGCGCACACAGAGCCGTGTCCGGAGTCGCTCTGGCAGAGTAGCGCCCCCAAACTTCTTTGATTAACACACAATCACTGTGGCAGGGAAAGATCTCACATCTGCTGTTGAAACCAAAACTTCTGCGTTTTGGTTTTAAAACAGAGACCTTTTGCTACGTTTGCACCTCCCGTCCAGACTAAAACGGAGAACTTCCCCCAGGTAGCGTTTTACTGAAGACGGGCAAAAACGGAAGACTTTAGAAACGATGACGCAGACGCTCACGCTCGGCTCTCTGATTGGCTCTTATAAGTCATACAAAGCAGAAACACGATGCTGCTGACAGAGTTTTAGTTTTGGTATTTTTATTAAAATTTTCTGTACAGTGCAAATAACACTTACAGCCTGCACTTACTGTGCATGTTTACTTTGCGACAACTCCCAGTCTGTTTTCCGCCGCCACCGCTGCTTTTAACTCCCGTATTGCATTCAGTAACAGTCCCAGCTTGTTATTGTTCCACGCAAAATAAAACCTGTTGCGGTTCTTTGTCTGTAGTACTTTATTCTTTCATCAAATCTTCTGTAACTACGGAACAGACCATCTGCTTCATGTTTGGCACGCACATTCCCAGTGTACTTGAACGGCCACTAGATGTGCGTTTTCAGTCGATTTAATTACAGATGGAGATCAACTCTGATACACAGCTAAAACGCTGCTGTGGCTCTGTTTCTAAACTCAAACAGAGTAGTGTGGGCGGGGCCTTAGTCGACAACTTTTCATTAGTTAGTTAGTCCAGGACCAGGACTCTGACTCCAGGGGAGATGGCAGCGGGTTCAGGCGGGAAGTGGGAGAGGAGCGACTTCATTCATAAGTAACATTATACATTGTGTCTGTGAGAGTTTGGGTCATGTGATCAACACGTGAGGAGGTTGGAGCGCTCTGATGAACTCGCCGGTCTGCTGGTACTCGCTGTGAGCGGAGAAGGAGATGTAGTCTTTCAGACATCTTCAGAAGAAGCTTCTGACTGGATATGGTGGCGATCTCGTCTGATGAACCTCACTGCCGTGTTCACCGCTTATTACCATCTGCACTGTGGAAGTTGATGTCAATGCTTTCCTCCAGTTCCATCTCTGTGACAACATGTCGTCTGCAGAGATGTAACTGCAGAATGCAGGTCAGCTTTACTACAACTCACACAGAAGCACTGCAGGTTATACTCCACATGGTATACACAGCCCTCAATTCTTTCATGGAGAAATACAAGCTGGTTGGATTTTCATTATCAGAATTCTGGTTCAGCTTCCACTTATTAACTGCCAACAGATGAGTCCTTTTCACACTGCTCTCAACTCCTAAATTACCAGAACTGTGCACTGAAAAACTTCAAGAAACATGTCTGCTTTGTCTTTGTTGGTTATTGCTTCCACCCCACATTTCTGTAAAAAACGGAATTCATTTCCTCTTATACAGACCTGACGTTCTATGCACAACTGACCACAAGTCTCCTACAGGAGTTTCAGGGCCCAGTGTTTCACAAAATCTTCTCCAGCTATTTTTCTTTGCATTCTTAATTACTCTTCTTGCTACTGCCCTTAATTACTTACATTCCAGTGCAAAATCCACCATTGGATACTTTCTTAATTTTCTATATGCTCGATTTGTGTCCTTTACCACTACATTACATTCTTTATTCCACCAAGGCACCAACATACGAGTTCTTGGCTTTTGTTTCTTGGGAATGGTACAAAGAGCTGCCTTATGAATAAAAGAACTGAGGGATGCATTCCATACATCTACAGATGTTTCACTGTCCACCGTGTCAACTAAATATTTAGCTCTCTCCTGAAACTCATACCATTTAGCCTGAGCAAATTTATATTTTGGAATTATCTCTTCTTCTTCTTTACTTTGTCTTCCAAAGCTACATAAAATTGGATAGTGGTCACTGCCCATTGTATATCTCTCCAAATCTGGATAATCTTCAGGAGGCAACTGATAAATTGATGCAACTGCTGGTATTCCTAACAATGTGGAACCTAGTTGGCCTTCCATCATTTATCACTACCAGATCATACTTGTCCAGAAAGTTCCCCATACTGGGTTATGGGCATTAAAATCCCCTACCCATATAACAGATCCCCTCACATGCTCCATAATCTCATCAAATTCAAATATTACCAATTGTTTACAAGGATTATACAGATTTATAAGAGTTACTGGACTACAGTTACTCCAAACTTCCACTGCCAGAACCTCCAGACTGGAACTCATATCAAGCCTCCTATACCGGAGACCAGATTTAATAAAAATTGCACATCCCCTTCCTGGTCTATCAGACCTATCCTTCCTCAAACATTCATACCCCTGAATAACAAAATCAAGACTATGTTGTGGGACTGGACAGAACGGACCCAAGGACAGGGAGGCAGGTAGAGCAAAACAATGGGAGAAATAAAACGAAATAACACTCACTCACTGTCAGCCGGCAGACTAGCCTTTAACCAGGTCTCTTGAATACACATCAGTTCTGGTTTCTCTTTAAATGCATCTACAAATCTCTTTAGTTCCTGTCCATTGGCAATAAGACTCCAGGCATTCCACTGAAGAATATAAAACATCAAACTATTAATCACCATCATCACTGTCCAAAAGGACCTCCTCCATACTTTCTGGTCGTGATATCTGTGAAGTCCTCACACTATGCTTTCATGTACTCGTGTAACTGCTCAGGTAGGAACTGATTTACACCCAGGAACTTTTCTGCTGCTTTGACCACAATTTTGATAGTGTCTGATCTCTTAACTGATGCTTGTGCTCCTACTAACACATCCACAATGAAAGCCAGAAATTTTTCCCTACTCAAAATGATCTGGGGAGAATGCTGGAGCAACTGGGAGACTTGTTGAATGCTGTTTGCCTTTTTGTTTCCAACTCCATGTTCTCTGTTGACTCTGTTAACTGCTTCTGCATATGAGACCTTATGATGTTCTCTCACTCTCTGGGCCCTTTGGGCCCAAACAAAGTGTTTACACTCACAAAATGCTTTTGTATGATGTCCTCCGCAATTACAGCATTTGGGAGCCTCTGCTTTACACGCTTGATATTCATGATCCCCACCACATTTCCCACATTTACATTTAGCCAGACAAGAGCCTGCCACTTGTCCAAACTTATGACAGTTATAACAGTGCAAGAGTGGTCTTTTATACTCCCTTACCTTATATGCCATACTTCCAAGAAATACTTTCACTGGCATAACATTACCTTCGAATGTAAGCAGGACTGAATCCCCATTGCTCCCTTCCTTATGCTTGAACCTCATAACATTAGTCACTCGGGTGCCCTTAACATTGTTTATCTGACAATCCAGCATACACTCCATATGACTCCTTTGATTGCTTGCTTCTCTCTAGGGACAATGATCTCAACTTTAACCACCACCTTCCCCACCTCCTTGGCGAAATCATATTGTTTTTTATCTTTACAACAAACTCTCAGCATCCCATTTGACAGTATTTTAGCTAGAGCTCCCCTAACAATCTGACTATCCAAGGCAGTAGTAACTCTCAGTGGGTTTCATGCTCTAAATCCACCACCTCCCTGCTTCTGATCCTTGACTCGAAATAGCACCGCAAACTCTTCAGAACTCATTTTCATAATTTTCTTCTCTCCAACTGCTTCAGATAAATCTGGCCTTTCAATTGATGCTTCTCTCTTCTGAATTCCTTTACTAACTACCTTCCACCCACCTCCCTCATCCCCACCACCCCTTCCCGTAGCCATAGGCTACGCTACTACACCACTTCTGCTTCTATTAATAACACCAACCACCAGCATATATAGATAATCCAGATAATTAGAATGAGAACATCCAGTGATCATTGCCGCAGCTCGTCAGAGAGTGAGCCCAAGCAACCACCAAGCCACCCTTCTCGCCTGCAAGGAGCAGCGCCAGAACACCGTTCCGGACCTATACAGGCTGTCGGTCAGTGTCCCCGCACACTTCCCCACAGACGTCGAGTAACCTAACAGCTGCCAAAGCAGTCCCAAAACCAAGTTGCCTTTTAATCAGACCTCATCAATTCTCCTCCCACCCCTCATAACGTTCTCCATCAGACGTTCCTCAGGGGGACCACCTTCTCCTGGACACTTCCTCAGACCACCATGTTTCTAACACCTCAACAGGAACTCGGTCAAAGAACTATATCCGGTTCCAGTTCTTCAAAATAAAACTTAAATTATGCTGAAATACCTCCGTGTGGGTTCCACCTTTAGAAGTGTGTTCCTCTTCTTCTTCTTCTTTTTGTTTTATGGCAGATTGCAACCATGACTTTTAAAGGTGCATACCGCCACCTACTGTACCAGAGTATGTAGCATGAACTATGTTTGATGGGACTACTTTATATCATAAAATAAAAAAACAAAATAAGAGAGAAAAAAAAAACGAAATAATTTTCATCATGTGCCCAATCCACGGCAATCCATCTACAGTATATTTCTGAGATAATAAACCTTCAAGATTCCTCTTCCTTCCTGCCTGACTTATCTTTTGATTTAGCCTCATCCTCACATCCCTGTATTTTCTAAATGTAATAGTACGTGTTCTACATTTTCCGTTCTTCCTGTGAATGTCTAACTTTATCTCTAATAAATGTTCTAAATACACATTCGTCTCTGGAGCCTTTGCCAATAAACGTGTCACGTAGAGAAACTATTTAGCCCTTCAAAACCTTAAAAGGGAAAATGAAAAGTGAACAAGCAATTGTCAGAAACTTGTGCAGAAACAGTGTTTGTGAGGATCAAACTCAGCAGGAAAAGAAATGTACTTGAGCAACAGAATAAATCGAGACTATTTGTTGAGTTTATGTCTTCAAACCTTTATTGCAGACATCAGCAGCTAGTAGATGCTGCTCCAAGAAAACTTTATTAAGTTCAGCCTTGAGGAGATCATTTCACCATTTCTAAGAAAACACATTTCTGACATTAAAGGCACAATCAGTGAGCCAGATGTTAACCAAAGTGAAGCCTCGTCCACCACCAACATTTAAACCACAGGACTGGAAGTTGTCTCCCTCCTACACAGAACACAGAGACACTGAGGAACCAGGCCAGAACCTAAATCCAGGATAAAGAGGTTCAGTGAATGTGGTGTTGAAGGTGTGGAGGTGGATCAGTGTGTCAGAGAAGACTCTGTAGAAGGACAGAGAGCCAGCAGGACAGTCCACATACACTGCTACTCTGTTAGAGGAGGAGGAGGAGGAGGAGGAGAGAGGGAGGACTGTTATTCTGTTATTGTGACAGACGTAACGATCATCACTATCAGAGCAGCTCAGACTCCAGGACTGATCATTCCATCCAAACAGACAGTCATCACTGCCTCCTCTCCTTCTGATTCCTCTGTAACTCACTGATATATAAACTCCTCCTCTCCACTCGACCTCCCAGTAACAGCAACCAGTCAGACCATTTCTACACATCAGCTGAGGCAAGCGGTCAAATCTCTCTGGATGATCAGGATATGGCTGCTTCTCTCTCACACGTGTCACCTTCCTGTTGTTGTCAGACAGTTTGAGGTTTCTGTGTGCTGTGTTTGTGTCCAGTGTGAGTTCACAGAAATCTGATGGAGAGAACGAGACACAACACAGCAGCAGTTTATCATCAGACACATCTGAAGGTTTATTCTTTGTTTGTGTGCTGATGTTGTTCATTTCTATAAAGTTTAATGATGATGCATTTAGTCAGTAATGTTTGAATGAATAAATACCACAACTATCAACTTTGTATTAAGAGAAACTGACTGTGTGCTGTTTTGTCATCATGAGTCAGATTGAATCCACACTTACACTTCCTCACACCAGGTTTTAACCTCTGCTCTCCACCATGGTCCACCCTGGAGGAAGAAACACAGTCAGAGTGATTTTCTATCCAACATGAGTCCTAACTGCTGTTCAACATGAAGCAGTGTTCCTCAGTTTGTCAGTGTGACAGAAAAACAGGCTGAAACTTAATTATCTCCAAGATTCTTTCACTGTCTGAGATTAAAAGACCTAAAGAAAAAGAACATGAAGATGAAGAAAACAAATAATATGAGAGGAGAATGTCCAGAATGTCCTCTGCATGTTGTCCCCCAAAATACAGTTTGACCAGCATTCAAATAATGAACAACTAAGCTGTTTCCAGACTGTTCTCAGACCAGTCTGACCACCGGATTCAACTTGTATTCTGTAATTTATATGTCAGAAACAGAGGATCTGATCTGGTCTGGTGATTGAGCATGCAATATTCAGTGTGTTAGTAATTTTCTGCATTCTGGAGACTGGTGAAAATTTTATACAAAGGGAAGCACAAAGTGCAGGTGGCAAGTGACAATTCAGAATATAAAAATTAAATTGAATAATACAGCCGCTGTGTGTGCTTTACAATTTATGTTACACCGACCTGAGAGTGTCCAGTCTCCAGTGTGGATCCTCCAATCCAGCAGACAGCAGCTTCACCCCTGAGTCTCCTGGATGATTGTAGCTCAGGTCCAGCTCTCTCAGATGGGAGGGGTTGGAGCTCAGAGCTGAGGCCAGAGAAGCACAGCCTTCCTCTGTGATCAGACAGCCTGACAGACTGGAATCAGGAAAACATCATAAACTCTGTGTTTTAGTAAATCATGCCAGCAGGAAATTCCTACAAACCATTTTCACTAACATGAACGTAAAACCAGATGATGAGGATTTAAAACAAACAGCTTATTACTGACCTGAGAGTTTCCAATGTACAGTGTGGACTCTCGAGTCCAGCAGACAGCAGCTTCACACCTGAATCCTGCAGGTTGTTGTTACTCAGGTCCAGCTCTGTCAGACTAGAGGACTGGGAGCTGAGAGCTGAGGACAGAGCTTCACAGCTTCTCTCTGAGAGGTTACAGTCACTCAACCTGAAAAAGGATTAGCAATGAACACAAACTAAATGATTTATTTGTCAAATATAAAATTAAGCATTTTTGAAATTACACATGCATATCTCCACCTACAGAGCTTTGTTGGAGGCTTTGACCACTGGCAGCAGCCTCAGAAGAGCCTCCTCTGAAGCAGAGTATTTCTTCAGGTCAAACACGTCCAGATCATTTTCTGATGACAGTAAGATGAAGCCCAGAGCTGACCACTGAGCAGGAGAGAGTTTATCTGTGGAGAGACTTCCTGAACTCAGGGACTGTTGGATCTGCTCCACTAGAGAACGATCATTCAGTTCATTCAGACAGTGGAACAGATTGATGCTTCTCTCTGGAGACAGATTCTCACTGATCTTCTTCTTGATGTACTCAACTGTTTTCTGATTGGTCTGTGAGCTACTTCCTGTCTGCGTCAGCAGACCTCGTAGGAGAGTCAGATTGGTCTGCAGTGAAAGACCCAGGAGGAAGCGAAGAAACAAGTCCAGGTGTCCATTTGGACTCTGTAAGGCCTTGTCCACAGCACTCTGGTAGAGATGTGTAAGTTTAAGTTTGTCTCTGAAGACTTTAGACAGCCGGGAGGTTGATTGTTCTTCTGCCAGCAGATTGACACCAGAGTTGATGAAGGTCAGATGGACATGAAGAGCAGCCAGAAACTCCTGAACGCTCAGATGGACGAAGCAGAACACCTTGTCCTGGTACAGCCCTCTCTCCTCTTTAAAGATCTGTGTGAACACTCCTGAGTACACTGAGGCTGCTCTGATATCGATGCCACACTCTGTCAGGTCTGATTCATAGAAGATCAGGTTGCCTTTCTGCAGCTGCTCAAAAGCCAGTTTTCCCAGAGACTCAATCATCTTCCTGCTCGCTGGACTCCAGTGCTGATCTGTCTCAGCTCCTACATCATACTTGGTGTTCTTCAGTTTGGACTGAACCACCAGGAAGTGGATGTACATCTCAGTCAGGGTCTTGGGAAGCTCTCCTCCCTCTCTGGTCTCCAACACCTCCTCCAGAACTGTAGCAGTGATCCAGCAGAAGACTGGGATGTGGCACATGATGTGGAGGCTTCGTGATGTCTTGATGTGGGAGATGATTCTGCTGGCCTGCTCCTCATCTCTGAATCTCTTCCTGAAGTACTCCTCCTTCTGTGGGTCAGTGAACCCTCTGACCTCTGTCACCATGTCAACACACTCAGGAGGGATCTGATTGGCTGCTGCAGGTCGTGTGGTTATCCAGAGGCGAGCAGAGGGAAGCAGGTTCCCCCTGATGAGGTTTGTCAGCAGCACATCCACTGAGGTGGACTCTGTAACATCAGTCAGGACCTCATTGTTGTGGAAGTCCAGAGGAAGTCGACACTCATCCAGACCGTCAAAGATGAACACAACCTGGAACTCTTCAAAGCTGCAGATTCCTGCTTCTTTGGTTTCAGTAAAGAAGTGATGAACAAGTTCCACCAAGCTGTACTTTTTCTCTTTCAGCACATTCAGCTCTCTGAAAGTGAATGGAAATGTGAACTGTATGTCCTGGTTGGCTTTGTCTTCAGCCCAGTCCAGAGTGAACTTCTGTGTTAAGACTGTTTTCCCAATGCCAGCCACTCCCTTTGTCATCACTGTTCTGATTGGTTCATCTCTTCCAGGTGAGGCTTTAAAGATGTCTTCTTGTCTGATGGTTGTTTCTGGTCTGGCTGGTTTCCTGGATGCTGTTTCAATCTGTCTGACCTCATGTTCATCATTGACCTCTGCAGTCCCTCCCTCTGTGATGTAGAGCTCTGTGTAGATCTGGTTCAGAAGGGTTGGGTTTCCTGCTTTAGCAATCCCCTCAAACACACACTGGAACTTCTTCTTCAGGTTAGACTTGAGTTTACGTCGGCACACTGCAGCAACAGTTCCTGAATGAAGAAAGAAGAAATGTGATTAATAAGTGGATGCTACAGTAAATCTGATAAATGTAAACTTTAAGACATCAAGATGGTATTTATTTTCCTCCTCCATGAAATCTCTTCAGCTCATCAGCTGTGAACAGTTTCTGAGTTTCAGCCCAGAAGAATTCATAGATCTGATCCAAATGTGTGCATCATATTAACAGCAGAGTTTGAAATGGAAACTTCTCCCATGTTGCCTCCATTTCCTCTTTCCATCATGTTAAATCTGTTCAAATCCTCTTACTGCTCTGCAGACGCTCAGCCAGCTCCTCCTGCTTCATTCTCCTCAGGAAGTGCAGTGTGATCTTCAGAAATGCCTCTCTGCTGCTCCTCCTCTGCTCCTCCTCCTCACCGTCCAACAACTCCTCATCTTCCCTCTCTAAGCATTCTGGGTAATCTGGACTCAGAACTCTCTGGAACTTGCTGAGCTTGTACATTTACACACCATAAATATGGAGTCCAGGTCTGTTTGATGCTGCTGGGCAGACTGACCACTGGGAACCTCTGAGCTCTGCTGATCAACTCTGTGAAGTAGAGCAGAAGCAGAACAGACTACTTAACTGCCTGATAAAGACATAATACCCATTGGATGACAGGAAATCCCTCCATTAAAATGTTTACCTAGGACAAGCTGATGGGTGTCATATGATCTGAATACAACAGGTCGATACATATACCCATCTCTCTTTTTAATTTGAATCCTGAACAGTGTGTTTCTGTTTGACGACGTGATCACATTGAGTGTATTTATATAATCCTGTAGTAAGAAACTTAATCACAGCCCTCATAAAAGATGCAGGTTGGGCTGTTAACCCTTCCTGTGAGTTCTAATGAAATGAGGAAAGTTGTTAAATGTGGAATATAAATTATGACTTTGTTCCCAGATTTTATTTTGTAATCTGAGATTTGTGAATGTGGATCCTGATTTGAAAAACTGCATGAAGGAGCTAATTTATCATCCACTTTCAGTGTTCTTACACATTCTCAAACCTGCATCCAGCTGTTTGTGGATTTTAACCATGCGGATGAGCAGTTGGTCACTTTCCTCCGCAGGAACCGTGGCGTCACATTTACGTTTAGACGCCATGTTTACCTGAATAAACTTATAATCTTCCACAAATACTAAATTAACTCAGAACTTCAGCTATTCCGCGCGTTGCCACAACTTTAACTCACTTTCGGCTCCTGCTGAAATACCTCCGTGTGGTACAACTGCTGGTAACTTTGGTTCCACCTTTGGGAGTGTGTTTTTCTTCTTCTTCTTCTTCTTCTTCTTCTTCTTTAATGGCGGATTGCAAACAACTTTTAAGTGCATACCGCTACCTGCTGTACTGGAGTGTGTAACATCATATCACTCAGCTATCAACCTCAATAAGGTGCTCTCATATTCTGCTCACCAACCCAGTGTCTTTAAGAAATTTAAATAATGCCTTCCTGGTGATTCTTACACCCTTTTCTTCTCCTTCTGTTCCCAACACCCCCATCAGATTCCATTCCCGCCCTGCTTCCTGAACCCTATCTTGAAATATCTGTCTTTCCAACTCAAACAATATGCAAATGACATGTTCAACATTTTCTTTAAGCCCACAGTTTTCACACTTTTCACTCTTCCTTTCCCCCAATAAAACCAAGGTGCCACTCAGTCCTGTGTGATCTACTCTCAGTCTTGTCATAATAATTTCCTCCAGCCTGCTCCTTTCGCTATAATTTTTATTACTGACAGACTTTTGTATTTTAAGGTAACTCCTTCCTTTCCTGTCTTCCTCCCACCATTTCTGCCATATTTCAGTATCTTTCTTCTTAATGGCTGTTTTTCCTTTTCCTTTTCCTAGAGGTATTTGAACTGTTATTTCCTTTTGTAATGCCTCTTTTGCTAGTTTGTCTGCAATCTCATTTCCATTTACTCCCTCATGAGCTGGCACCCAGCAAAAGTGAACATCTATCCCTCCCCGATGTAATCTTAATAAGCTGTGAAACATTTCTATCAGCAGGTCTTCTCTGACAGATGTCATTGGCTGAATGCTTTTAATAACTGCTAAGGAGTCTGTGCATAATATCACCCTATCAGGTCTGACCTCTTCAACCCACTGTAATGCTATAATAACTGTATGCTGAATATACAGATAGCCTATCTGATCATCGTTTTGAGATATTTATTTTGAATTCTGGTATATTTATTCCAATTCCCACACATTCCTGTTTGTTTTTAGATCCATCTGTATAGATTTTTAGATAATTATGGAAACTGTTTCTCAGATAGCTGCTAGTCCGTATTCCCACTTCCTCTTTTCTTTTCCAGTATACTAAGATCTGTTTTTACGTCTGGATAGAGCCAAGGTGGAATGTTACTGACTGGATTGGGTGTGGTGAAATCTAATGCTTCCATTCCATATTCCCTGACTCTCTTTTCCCCCGTCCATCCAAACCCATGCCCCCGAAACTTGAAATATTCCCAACAATCCTTTGTTATCTCCTTTGCAGGGTTTTCTTTCCCACTTCCTTTCAATCTGACCCAATATGCTAGCGCTAGTTTCTCTCTTCTTAACTCCAGTGGTGTCTCTCCAGCTTCTATGAGTATTGTGTTAATGGGAGTTGTCTTAATGGCTCCAATGCATATCTGTAAAGCTCTGTATTGTAATTTATTTATTTTTTCCAATAATGTTTTTGCTGCTGCATCATATACTATGCAACCATAATCTATTGATGACCTCATGCATGCTCTATATATGTCAATTAGTGACTGTTTATCTGCACCCCAGTCATCCCGCCACCGCTCTCAGTAAATTAATAACTTGTTTGCATTTAGTTTCCAATTGCTTTATGTGTGTTTTCCATGTGTATTTACTATCAAACCACAATCCCAAATACTTAAATTCATTTACTTTTTCCATTGGCTGCTGATATAGAAAAAGCTTTTCTACATGACACTTTCGCTTGTTTGTGAACACCATATAACAGGATTTGCTTGTTGATATTTTAAATGACCACTTCTCTACTTTCCCTATTGCTTTTTCTAATGTTCTCTAACACATATGTCTCATTTCTTCCTCTCATCCATACGGCCCCATCATCTGCATATAACGCTGATTTGATGTGTCCATCTAAATCTGAAAATATATCATTAATCATAATGTTGAATAATATAGGGCTAATTGCGCTCCCCTGGGGAATTATTTACCTTAAACTCTCTTCTGATCCAACCTTTACTCTAATTTTCCTATCTGTTAAAAAGTCTAGTATCCAGTTATAAATCCTTCCTTCAAACCCCATTCTATTTAGTTTAATAAGTAGTCCTTCCCTCCACATAGTATCATATGCCTTCTCAATGTCAAAATACACTATTATCATCAGCTCTTTCATTTTCAGTGCCTTTTCTACCTCATTACTTACTCTAACGAGAGCATCTGTTGTGGAGCAACCTTTCCGAAATCCATTTTGTATATTACTCAGTAGTCCTCTCTGTTCCATTACATGTGATAACCTACGAACTATTATCCTCTCCATCCATTTGCATAAGTGAGATGTCAGAGCTATGGGTCTATAATGCTCCTGGTAATAATCCTGGTAATAATTACCAGGAGTCTTTACCAGGTTTGCTAAACGGTAGTATAACTGCACTTTTCCAACTTCTCGGTATTATTCCATCCTTCCATATTTTATTGAACAGTCTTAACACTAGCTTATTTGACCCTACTGGCAGCTGTCGGAACATGGCATAACATAACTGGTCTTGTCCTGGGGCTGTATATCCCGTGACAAGCAGAGCTATATATTCTGTTATTGTAAAATCCACATCTAAAGTTGTTGTACCATCCTCCCTCTTCAGCTTCACATCCTTATTTTCTCTGAGTGCCAGGTCTTTCTGTTGCTTATGAATATCCATAAGGTGATCACCACTATGCACAGCCGCAAAAGCCCTACCCAACATCTCTGTCTTTTCATAGTCTGACCACCGTCTTTCCTCCATCTATCAAAGCTGCAACGCTTTCCCACTCATTCTTTTAAACATAGACCATATATCCCCTAACTCTACTCCTCTACCTATGGTGGAACAGAACTCTCTCCAAATTTTCTTTTTGGTTAACTTAATTGTCCTACGTGCCACTGTCCTTTTCCTTTGAAAATCCAAAACACTCTCTTGTGATAAATTCTTCTTTAATGTTTTAAAGGCTTTGTTTCGTTCTTTTACAGCTCTGCTACACTCATTCCACCAGGGGACCACTTTCTTCCTGCCCTTTGTTGTTCTTTTTGGAATACTTAAATGTGCTGCATTTATAATGTGTTCTGTAATTTGCTTTGTGCATTCCTCTACATCACCTTCTAACGTCACAAGGTTTGCTGACTTCGTACAACATAACCTAAATTTTTCCCAGTCTGCTTTCTCAAAGCACCATCTGTTAATTGTACTTCCTTCTAGGAAACATACATTTGTGTTAATAATAGTGAGAACTGGAAAATGGTGACTTCCTATAGTAGAACATTCATAACAAACCATTCACATGCATTTACCAAATTATCTGATACCAGTGTGATATCTAAACATGATGTTTTACCCCTGTTCACATCCATTCGTGTTCCCTGTCCATTATTAATGCAGACCAGTGATCTTTCTTCCATCATTTCTTCAATTATGTCCCCATTATTATCTGTGTGATTGCTGCCCCATAAGCTGTTGTGTGCATTGAAGTCCCCACACCATATTTCTTTCCTGTATACAGTCCCTGCCATTTCATTCAGTTTATTGATATCTAAGTTTTTGCATGGGTTATAGAAATTAATCAGTTTAATGTTTCCCTCTTTCCTTGGGCTATAGATTTCAACTATTATACATTCTGAATCTTCTGAGCTTGGGGATTCCCTGTAGGCCAACCCATCCTTGATAAAGGTGATGCACCCTCCACCAGTTTGGTTGTTACGTCTATCGTACCTTATAGAGCTAAACCCTGGTATCACATAATCTAGTCTGTCTCGTAACCAAGTTTCTTGTACACATATTGCATCTGGAACAACATCTAATTCATGAATGTACTTTTTGAATTCTTGACCATTAGCTATAAGACTTGCGTTCCACTGTAGTATGTGAAGAACCATTATAAGTGTCCTAACCCTCTGTTTGTGTATTTCCATTTTCAGTTACCGTCAACAATGCATGTATTTGATCTGCTTTGATATCTTTCATATCAAGAAGCTTTCCTGCTGCTTCTACAATAACCTTAATTCTGTCACTTTTCTTTTTCAACTGGGACGCAACATTGATGGTGTGACATATGAAACCCACTCACTATCAACGTATCATCGTCAACTTTACATTTACATACATGCTCGCAACCATTCTGTGTGTGAGCTGGAATCTGGTTTTGTGTCTGATTAACTGGTGTTATGTTTCTTTGGATAATTCCACTGGAGTTTTTGTTATTTGATCCTGCTTCTCTTACTTTCTTTAGAGCTTCTGCATATGATACTTTGTTCAATATCTTCACCTTTTGGGCTTCTCTGGCTCCTCTTTGCACTTCACATCCACCAAATGCAGCACTATGCTCTCCTCCACAGTTACAACATTTAATCTTTGCATCCTTTTCACATTTCCCATACTCGTGCTGACCTCCACATCTAGCACACCTTAGCTTTCCTTTGCACTGCTGAGCTGTGTGCCCCATCCTTTGACATTTATAGCATCTGATAGGGGGAGGGATGTATTCTCTCACGCTGTAATTTATGTATCCCATTTGGACTGACTTAGGGAGGGCTCTCTCAAATTGCACAACCACAGATAGTGTGTCTTTTAATGATCCATCTCGTTTGCTTTTTAGTCTAGTAGCCTCAACTGCTTTGCCTCCCTGAATCTCATTTTTAACATCTTCCATTGACATATTCAAAGGGACTCCTGATATAACTCCTCTAACCTTTGCTGTTGCTCCTGGGATGTGGGCCTTCATCCTTTCCCCTTGAAGTGTGGACATGCTAAGAATCTTTTCTTGTTGTTGTTTGCTGCTTGCATGTATCAGTATTCGTTTATTGTTCAAAAATCTTGCAAATTTGATTTTGCCAATCTCCTTCTCAATCGCCTTGGTAAGTTTAATTGGGTGATAGTTTCCACCATCCTGATTGAACTCAATTATAACTTTCCAATCGTTTCCTTGCACTTTCTTCGTATTCTCAGGCTTCTGTTTCTCACTCTTGCTAGCTCTCAATTTCTTGGTATTACTTCCCTCGACTTTTCCCTCTCTCTCTTTCTCTCAAGTCCCATTTCAATCTTACAGATCTGGACATCATCACTCCATCTCATCCCCATCTGAACTATTTGACATGATGTTACATTCACAGTACAGTTTATGCAGATCCGCCAACAAAGTTCGATCCTACTATGTTTTCCGGCCACCGTTCGTTCACTCTCTCCACATAGCTCAAAACCTCCACGCCTTCCCGCTCGAATACAACTTCCGCCCGCCAGGTCCTGGATCTCCCGCCTCAGAGTCTTCTTCTTCTTTTATGGTATCTTCGTCTTCTTCTTCTTCTTCTTCTTTAGAGTTTATCGGCAGCTTGCATCCATTATCGTTGCACTACCGCCATCTTCCGGCTTTATTTCCTGTCATGTCCAGTTACATCATATTCTTCCCATCATACCTATTCTTGATAAAAATAAGAAAATATTTCCTCTGCTTTGTTCATTCTCCCCACTTTCCAGTATTTCCTTCATTCCTGTCCCTATTGTTCCAACTATTCCTAACTCTTCCATCATATTTTTCCTCTGTTCTTCATATTGTCTGCAACTCAAAAACACATGCTCTATAGTTTCTGCAACCTGACCACAACCACAAAAACCAGTTGGGTGCTTCCCTATAATGTGTAATGTGCTATTCAAATTACTGTGACCTATCCTTAATCTGGTCATAACTATTTCTTCTTTTCTATTCCCTCCCCTATTCTTCACCGCCCCAACTTTACTTTGTATAGCATATAAATGTCTCCCTTTAGTTTCCATATCCCACTGATGTTGCTATTTTCTAATGCTTCTTTCCATATTATACTCTTTCTTTCAGACTTTGACAACTTAATATTTCCTTCAATACTCTCTTTTTTAACAGCTTGCTTGGCTAACTTGTCCACTCTCTCATTACCCACAATGCCAATATGAGCAGGAATCCAAGTCAATTGAATCTCATAGCATTTTTCCCTTATTCTTGTGTATATTATCAATATTGAATACAGTAAATCCTGATGACTATTAGATATACCAGTCATGAGACTGTATAAAGCTGACAATTAAAGCTTTTTTGATTTTGTTTTCCTCAATCCATTCTAGCGCCATCTTAATAGCATATAATTCAACTGCATACACACTCAGATCATTTGTGGTTCGTCTGCTTATCTCACCTCTTTGGTTGAAAATGTAAACTGCAGATCCAGTCTTTCCTGTTTCTGGATCCTTTGATCCGTCTGTATAAATCTGAATATACTCTTTATATTTAAAATCTATATGTCTATAAAATTCCGCTACCAGATCTGTACTATTACTTACTGTTTTAACTCGAAGTAATTTAAAATCAACTTCCATGGTTTCTAGCTTCCATACCGGTGTATCAGGCCATATTATAGTTGGGCAGAATTCCTTTTCATACACTCCCAATTCTCTAGCCGCCTCATCTCTACCCACCCAAAACTGAACTTTTGTGCTCTCTCCCTTTCCCAATTATCTTGTAATATTATTTTAGTTGGATGACTATCTCCATGCCCTTTTAGATTTACCCAATAATTTACAAGCAATTGTTTACGTCGGATGTTCGATGGCATTTCTCCCGCTTCCACCTGTAGAGCACACACTGGTGTTCGTTTATGGCAGATTGCAGCCATGACTTTTAAAGGTGCATACGCCACCTACTGTACCGGAGTATGTTGCATGAACTATGTTTGTTGACACAACTTCATTTCATAAAATAATTAAAATAATATTGAGAGAAAAAACTAAATCCTATTATATATATCTCTATATTTTTCAGATAATAATAATAAACCTTCAAGGCTTCACTTCCTTCCTGCCTGACTTATCTTTTGATTTAGCCTTTGTAAGGATCAAACTCAGCAGGAAAAGAAATGTACTTGAGCAACAGAATAAATAAGAATATTTGTTGAGTTTTTGTCTTCAAACCTTTATTGAAATAAATGAGAAGCTCTGCAGCCATCAGCAGCTACTAGATGCTGCTCCAAGAAAACTTTATTAAAGTGAAAATCAGAGTCAACACAGTTTGTACACAACAAGTTCAGCCCTGAGATCATTTCACCATTTCTAAGAAAACACATTTCTGACATTAAAGGCACAATCAGTGAGCCAGATGTTAACCAAAGTGAAGCCTCGTCCACCACCAACATTTAAACCACAGGACTGGAAGTTGTCTCCCTCCTACACAGAACACAGAGACACTGAGGAGGAACCAGAGGACCAGGACCTAAATCCAGGATAAAGAGGTTCAGTGAATGTGGTGTTGAAGGTGTGGAGGTGGATCAGTGTGTCAGAGGAGACTCTGTAGAAGGACAGAGTGCCAGCAGGACAGTCCACATACACTGCTGCTCTGTTAGAGGAGGAGGAGGAGGAGGAGCAGAGAGGGAGGACCGTTTCTCTCTTATTGTGACAGACAGTGTAACGACCATCAGAGCAGAACAGACTCCAGGACTGATCATTCAATCCAAACACACAGTCTTTACTGTCTCCTCTCCTGCTGATTCCTCTGTAACTCACTGATATATAAACTCCTCCTCTCCACTCGACCTCCCAGTAACAGCGACCAGTCAGACCATTTCTACACAGCAGCTGAGGCCAGAAGTCAAATCTCTCTGGATGATCAGGATATGGCTGCTTCTCTCTCACATGTGTCACCTTCCTGTTGTTGTCAGACAGTTTGAGGTTTCTGTGTGCTGTGTTTGTGTCCAGTGTGAGTTCACAGAGATCTGATGGAGAGAACGAGACACAACACAGCAGCAGTTTATCATCAGACATATCTGAAGGTTTATTCTTTGTTTGTGTGCTGATGTTGTTCATTTCTATAAAGTTTAATGATGATGCATTTAGTCAGTAATGTTTGAATGAATAAATACCACAACTATCAGCTTTGTATTAAGAGAAACTGACTGTGTGCTGTTTTGTCATCATGAGTCAGATTGAATCCACACTTACACTTCCTCACATCAGGTTTTAACCTCTGCTCTCCACCATGGTCCACCCTGGAGGAAGAAACACAGTCAGAGTGATTTTCTATCCAACATGAGTCCTAACTGCTGTTCAACATGAAGCAGTGTTCCTCAGTTTGTCAGTGTGACAGAGAAACAGGCAGAAACTCATCTGTGTCAACTGTCTCCAGGATTCTTTCACTGTCTGAGAAAAGGACCTGAAGAAGAAGACAACTAATATGAGAGCAGGATGTCAAATATTGTCCTCTGCATGTTGTCCCGCTAAATAAACAGTTTGACCAGCATTCACACATGAACAACTAAACTGTTTCCAGACTGTTCTCAGATCAGATTCAACTTGTATTGAGTAATTTCTGTCAGAAACAGAGGGTCTGAGGACAGAGAGGCCACATGATGTACAGATTGTAAAGCTTTGAGACAAGTTTGTGATTTTGCACTTAATAAAACTGACTTGGGAATTTCATATCAATAAAGGACTGTATTTCACAGAGACAGATGAGGCTAAATGATGAAGTTAACAGAGAATAAAGGCACCGAGAAGGTGTTTCTCTCAGCAGCAAATAATTATATGCATCTAAATGTGCGCATTTGTTTTTGTAGTGGACCTAAATTTATTAGTTATTCATTTTAATAAATTTATGAGAATTGATACCCAATTATGAATTTTTAAGATTCATAAAATCAAAATTTCCTCGTTAAGGGCACCACCGGAGTTGTTATAATCCTAGAGTCTCCGGACCTCTAGGTAGTTTTGAATAATTATACAATTATTACTAGTGATCAGTTAGTTAATAATCGCTCAATTATCTTAAATCAGTCAGTCAGTCTCATATCTAAAGGGTCAATTCTCTTGGCAGGAACTATAAATAGGCAACACACACAGCTCTTGATTATATTACAGTGAATTTATTCTCTAACTAAGGTGATAAAAAGATGGTTGGATACAGGGAACGAACATTTGCTGAACAATGAGCCTGGAGGTTCGATTGTGGGAAGCATTTGACTCATACGGCATAGAAGAACTAATGAAAGTAAACTAATGCTATAATTTAGGAGTTAAAATGGACATCTGATCACAGAACGTGTGTTAAGTCTTACTGCTTGTCGACAGCCTGCTTTTGGCCTGTTGCACGGGTCCCATGCTAGCTGCCGATCCTGGCTTTTTGCTAGGGATTCTCCAGGGTTCTCCGTGTCTGATTGAAACGTCTCCTCCGTCTGGCAATTCGGCTGTTTGCAGGTTTCCTTCGTTGCAGTTGGCGAGACCACGTGGCTTGGTCTGACCTCGGTGAAGTTGGCTTCGATGAAAAAGGCTTAAAATGGAACTTGGTCGTTCCTGAATTAGTCCAGTGTAACTTAACGGACTGATAACTTTAACAAACAAAAGAAATAAAGAAAATAAAACAAACTGAAGGCAGATCGATGTCGCGGCACTTCAGGTGTGTAGCTTCAGGCGAACAAAGGCCTGTTTGTTTCGCTGGCCGAGTCTGGGCGTGTTGCCTGGCGAGGCACGCTGCTCGTGCCGAAGCATCCAGAGCGAGAGAAGGGAAGAGACTAGCGAGCAGGTCGCGTGTCGCTCTTTTGTTGCCTGGGGCGTGGTTCCCCAGGGGGCGTCTCAGGTTTCCCCAGGAACTGCCTTTCAAAACTTAACATCTAAAGAAAAGAAATCTATTTGCACGTATTATAATCAAATATTTTCCACAATCGAACCTCAATGGTTGAACGGTTGTACTGTTCTAAGCATTTGGTAACAGGAAACAATTGTCACATTATTGGTCAGTATTTTTACACATTTAACGGCATTTCCGACGAGGGCATGTAATACTTATTTCGTCCACTTGGGGGAGCTCAGGTTACATGAGGAAAGCTTGGATTAAATCAAAGATCGTCTCTCCTTAGGAACCGGGGAATTTGTTGATTCATCCTTAAATTCAAGCTGGCGATTAAGAGTATAGTAAAACATTTCTTTGTCATCATTTCTAAAGGGATTTTGTAAGAAAGTATTATGAACAAGCATTGATTACATTAGATGGAGTGTAGTGCTGAAAATAAAAACACTGCACAAGTAACTTCTTTTCAGCACTAATATCAACAACAGATAGCAACAACAGTTAACATAACTACTCAAATAGAGGCAAACATAATCAGGTAACCAAAGGTTTAATTAAACTTAATTAGATGCTTTGAGTCTTTTGGAGATTGCAGTCCTTTTACATTGAAAGTTCAGTGTCCTGGACAATGTCACACTTAGGTGAGACAAGGAGTATCCTTTTGATGTGGTAATAAAACAAAGAATAAGGTCAGTTTCCACGGAAACGTGTGTGGTGGGGCCAGTTTTGATAGGCTGTTCAGGGAGATGCCAATGGCTGGCTCGTGTCCCTTTGTCAGTTTAACAGTCAGGCCCCGCGTTATCAGCTTTGGAATCAAAAAGGTGCCAGTTTCATGGTCGGGATAGCACTTAGAGAAAGCAACTTTGACCCCTCCCCTTCTTCTCTGGGGAGGAGAAAGGAATTTAAGGTAGCTCCACATTCATTCAATATAAAATGCACAAATCCACATCGTTGTTCACTACATTTTGCTTTAGATCAGGGGTATTCAATTAGATTTCAAAGAGGTCTAGTTAGAGAAAATTTCCTGAAGCAAAGGTCCGGAACATCAAAACGACGAACTTGCGTTATCATTCAGTACTATAACCTATAGTTGTATCAACACATGTTTTGGACTGTCAAATCAAATAATATTTCAGTCAGTTTTCACATCAAACTGGAGGGATAATAAATAATAACTATTCAAATAATAAATTCTAAATTTAAGTAAACTAAAGTGCCTAATTTTTAGAAAAAATGTAATAAAAAGTGTAGCTTGAAGTGATGAAGTGTAGTCTTAACCAATTTTATAATAAACACACAAATGAACAGCTGTAATGCCTCCTCTTCTCTTTCATTTCCTCTTACAGAGCTACCACTTTCCTACTTTCTGTTGTTCAGTGAGAAACGTGAGCTCCAGCTAGCATATTGGAGATCTATGAGATATTCTGGTTTTGAACTGCCCGTGGGAGGAATGTACATGTAAAAATCAGTACATTCTTGATTAAAAGTCATGTGAAATCTCTTTTATCTTTCGTCTCCTCAATTCGTGTGTTTCCAAAACGTCTCTGGTGAATCTCGCGGACTCGACTCGCAAGCATCGGTATGCACAGATTTGATTGGCTGAGCAGCGTCACATGAGACGATTGGAGCACATGCGATTGGTCTGTGAGTTTCCTGGTCCTCTAAACCAGTACAGTAAATGCTAGAAAAGCTGCGCGGGTTAAAATAGAAACGCTCCGTCACGAGGTAGTAAGTCTCAATAATAAATGTGCTGTAGGTCGGCGGTCCGCCTATTAGTGACCTCTGCTTTAAATATTTAACAATTGTATTTATAATTAACAAAACACTAGTGTTTACAGTGTTGGACAAACCACTTGGAAAATGTAGTGAGCCAAGCTACCAGTTAACTCTACATTAAATTAAGCTTCACTACACTGAAGCTACAACCAGGAGAAACATAGCAAGCTCAGCTACAGCAACATGGCAAAAGTCCTTTTTTGTTTATATTAAACCAACTTCATTCTAGAGTAGCAAAAGAATAAAGACCTGCTCCAAACAGTAACAACGTGAGAGATCTAAATCAGACAGAAACGCCCAAATATTACAACAAAATGTATTTCCTCACAAACTGAGAACCAGTGGAAAAACATTGTTACTTTAATAGATGTGCTGCTTGTCAAAAAAGCATGACATTTTCAATGTATGATTTATTTTGATAGATACACAAAAAAGTATTGTCAGCCACTGATTGTGCAAGTTCTCCTATTTAGAAAGATGAGGTCTGTTTTGTCATAGGTACACTTCAACTATGAGACACAAAATGAGAAGAGAAAAAAAAAAAAATCCAGGAAATCACATTGTAGGATTTTTAAAGAATTTATTTGTAAATTATGGTGGAATATAAGTATTTGGTCAGTACTCAAGGTCAATGTTTCCTGTAAGTCTTCAGCAGGTTTGCACACTGTAGCTGGTATTTTGGCCCATTCCTCCCTGCAGATCTCCTCTAGAGCAGTGATGTTTTGGGGCTGTCGCTGGGCAACACGGACTTTCAACTCCCTCCACAGCTTTTCTATGGGGTTGAGGTCTGGAGACTGGCTAGGCCACTCCAGGACCTTGAAATGCTTTTTAACGGAGCCCGAGCGGCGTGTTTGGGATCATTGTCATGCTGGAAGACCCAGCCACGTTCCATCTTCAACGCTCTCACTGATGGGAGGAGGATTTGGCTTAAAATCTCACGATACATGGCCCCGTTCATTCTTCCTTAACACGGATCAGTTTTCCTGTTCACTTTGCAGAAAAACAGCCCCAAAGCATGAGGTTTCCTCCCCCATGCTTCACAGTAGGTATGGTGATGCAACTCTGTGTTCTTCTTCCTCCAAAGTTGAGTTTTTACCAAAAAGCTCTATTTTGGTTTCATCTGACCACATGATATTCTCCCAATCCTCTTCTGGATCATCCATATGCTCTCTGGCAAACTTCAGATGGGCCTGGACATGTACAGGGGGGGGGGGGGACACGCCTGGCGTCCCTCTCGGCGTAGTGTGTTACTGATGGTAGCCTTTGTTACTTTGGTCCCAGCTCTCTGCAGGTCATTCATCAGGTCCCTCCGTGTAGTTCTGGGATTTTTGCTCACCGTTCTCATGATCATTTTGACCCCACGGGATGAGATCTTGCGTGGAGCCCCAGATCGAGGGAGATTATCAATGGTCTTGTACGTCTTCCATTTTTTTTTACAATTGCCCCCACAGTTGATTTCTTCACACCAACCTGCTTGCCTCTTGTAGATTCACTCTTCCCAGCCTGGTGCAGGTCTACAATTTTCTTCCTGGTGTCCTTCGACAGCTCTTTGGTCTTGGCCATGGTTGAGTTTGGAGTCTGACTGTTTGAGGCTGTGGACACGTGTCTTTTATACAGATAACGAGTTCAAACAGGTGCCATTAATAAAGGTAACGAGTGGAGGACAGAAGAGCTTCTTAAAGAAGAAGTTACAGGTCTGTGGGAGCCAGAAATCTTGCTTGTTTGTGGTGACCAAATACTTATTTTCCACCATAATTTACAAATAAATTCTTAAAAATTCTACAGTGTGATTTCCTGGATTTTTCTTTCTCATTTTGTCTCTCATAGTTGAAGTGTACCTATGATGAAAATTACAGACCTCTCTCATCTTTCTAAGTAGGAGAACTTGCACAATCAGTGGCTGACTAAATACTTTTTGGCCCCACTGTATATATATATTATTGTTAACATTTGACTTTCTGCTTTCATTTATTCATTTAGCTGACGCTTTCATCCAAAGAGACTTACAATTGCTATACATGTCAGAGGTTGACGCCTCTGGAGCAACGAAGGGTTAAGTGTCTTGCTCTACATATCAAAGTTTCCTCCTCACTAGAGGAAGAGGTGGTCAGACTGGACCCTGATCCTTTTCACAAGAGCTTTTTGTTCAGGCGACACAATAGAAAGTAAACTCAGTCTCTCGTGTCTTTATTCCCCTGCAGCAAAGTCACAAGGATTTGATGTACGTGATGTGACCGTCATACGAAAGTGCTTTTGTTGGCTACACATACAGGTCTGTGTATGGCAAATCCATTTTCCAGCATATTGATAAGACTCAAGACATTTACAGAAGAGTTTATCAAGATATTGTTTTTCATGGATTATTTATATTTACAGATAAAATGCCACATGAAATAAGGATGATAAGATATTTTAAAAAACCTGTGTGTAAAATGATGATGCTCTAACTGCTTTAAAGGGCGAGGAATATGACTTGATTTGGACTAGCTAACGTTGTGCTGTAGAAAACTTTCAAATGATATATGATTCAATATGGAGAGTTTCGAAAGACCGGTCAAACTTTTAGTTGGAAAGTGCTAACAAAGATGAGATTTACGCAATCTAAAGATCACAAACTTGGTGTAAAATAGACAAAACATAATGTTTAGAAATATAAATTATATATATATATACATATCCTGCTCAAAAAAATAAAGGGGACACTTAAACAACACAATGTAACTCCAAGTCATCACACAACCCACACAAGTGGCTCAGGTAGTGCAGCTCATCCAGGATGGCACATCAATGCGAGCTGTGGCAAGAAGGTTTGCTGAGTCTGTCAGCGTAGTGTCCAGAGCACGGAGGCGCTACCAGGAGACAGGCCAGTACATCAGGAGACGTGGAGGAGGCCGTAGGAGGGCAACAACCCAGCAGCAGGACCGCTACCTCCGCCTTTGTGCAAGGAGGAGCAGGAGGAGCACTGCCAGAGCCCTGCAAAATGACCTCCAGCAGGCCACAAATGTGCATGTGTCTGCTCAAACGGTCAGAAACAGACTCCATGAGGGTGGTACGAGGGCCCGACGTCCACAGGTGGGGGTTGTGCTTACAGCCCAACACCGTGCAGGACGTTTGGCATTTGCCAGAGAACACCAAGATTGGAAAATTCGCCACTGGCGCCCTGTGCTCTTCAGATGAAAGCAGGTTCACACTGAGCACATGTGACAGATGTGACAGAGTCTGGAGACGCCGTGGAGAACGTTCTGCTGCCTGCAACATCCTCCAGCATGACCGCTTTGGCGGTGGGTCAGTAATGGTGTGGGGTGGCATTTCTTTGGGGGGCCGCACAGCCCTCCATGTGCTCGCCAGAGGTAGCCTGACTGCCATTAGGTACCGAGATGAGATCCTCAGACCCCTTGTGAGACCATATGCTGGTGCGGTTGGCCCTGGGTTCCTCCTAATGCAGACAATGCTAGACCTCATGTGGCTGGAGTGTGTCAGCAGTTCCTGCAAGAGGAAGGCATTGATGCTATGGACCGGCCCGCCCGTTCCCCAGACCTGAATCCAATGAGCACATCTGGGACATCATGTCTCGCTCCATCCACCAACGCCACGTTGCACCACAGACTGTCCAGGAGTTGGCGGATGCTTTAGTCCAGGTCTGGGAGGAGATCCCTCAGGAGACCATCCGCCACCTCATCAGGAGCCCAGGCGTTGTAGGGAGGTCATACAGGCACGTGGAGGCCACACACACTACTGAGCCTCATTTTGACTTGTTTTAAGGACATTACATCAAAGTTGGATCGGCCTGTAGTTTGGTTTTCCACTTTGATTTTGAGTGGGACTCCAAATCCAGACCTCCATGGGTTGATAGATTTGTGTGATTTTGTTGTCAGCACATTCAACTATGTAAAGAAAGGAGTATTTAATGAGATTATTTCATTCAGATCTAGGATGTGTTATTTTAGTGTTCCCTTAATTTTTTTTGAGCAGTGTATTAGATAGATAGATATGTGTGTAAGAAACATCCTCTATCCCAGAAGAAACCTAAATTACTATGTAGCCTAGAGACTCAAGTTATTTATGATAATACGGCTGTGTGGTGAACCTATGAACTGAAGTCATATTTAAACAACTATTGCTTTGTGTTATATATAAATAGTAGTAAGACTTCTCTCTGTGTACACGCATCCTAGAGGCCTACAAGTACAATTTTGGCTGTATTTTTGTGTCCCCCTCAAAAATTGCTCTCGTGAAATTTTATGTTTACTTCCCCCCCTACTGTGAGATGAAACTTACGCCCATGCATAGCGCCCAGAGAACCTGATGTGGAGAGGGCAGAGGAGAGGACCGGCAACTTGAAAAAGTCCCAGTACACAAATGTTTGCGGGTCGCGGTCTCAGACCTGTTCAGTCAAATCTATACTGCGCACCATAGTGGTTGATGGTGGAGAAGTGGAACCATCCTGTCAGTCATGCGGTGCGCAGCGTAACATTAGTTCATTAGGAAAGTATGTTCATTTAAGTCTGTTTATCTTTTAATGTGAATAATAACAATATAACAATAAAAATACATTGTGTGATTCAAAATAATGGTTGTTGAAGAATGAATTAGTGACCGCAACAGATGCTGATTTTACTGCTTCCATGGGAGCTCAGACCTCCTTATGGGAGCTGAGCTCCCACTGGCTCCCACGTAACTCCAACCCTGTTTAAAGTGCTCTATAAACTAAATTGATTGATATATTGATGAAAGTTCTCCGGCAGAGCGCTTTTTTAAATGCAGCAAAATCATAATTTTGGACTGTGGTGTCTACACGTCGAATCTAAGCTGTAACCTGACCTGCACCTCCCCAAAAATGCAACAACATGTCGCGGCGATGCAGAACTGTACCTTCTGTGAGACTCATACAGAAACGGCATTACATATGTTTTGTCAGGATGTACAGTATGTACATTTATTAATGATTAGATATATTCAGGTTTCTGCTGGTTCTGGCAGAATATCTTTTTTAGTGTAACACTGCGACCATTATTTCTTAATCAATTTATGTTGTTTCTGGCAAAATTTCATAAACACAAATGCAAATTTACAAACAAAAACCCCATTTATAGTCTTTGAGAAAGAAACTTTATTTTTGAACTGTTTCTCCTCCAACAGAAAGGCTTTGAAGATAGGCTCCTTAATGTCTGTACTCGCTTAAAGGTCTGTGATATCCTTCAACCAAGTCCAGTTGCCCTTGACTTTAACCTTCTGAGAACCTTCACAGATATCTGTGATATCCTTATTTATTTTCGCTGTATTGTTCTGTTATTGTACCCCCTAGCTATAAATACATCGGTATCCCTAATGTGAAGTATCCATTGCAATGTTAAGATTGGTGATATATGTTGCTATTTGATATTATTAAAAAGGAAGAAAAAAAGACAGACAGCAAGCTCAGATTAGGGGGGTGACGACACACTTTGCCCATGAGATGTGACATTGCACAAGATTGGGGTCACAAGAACAAGACAAGAATATATTTGAATACTATTTTGAGCATTAAACACTTAATTTCCTGCATTCTGGGGATATTTTCTGCACCAATTTATGGTGGAATGTCTTTATTTATGTAAAGGGAAGCACAAATTCAGTTGGCAAGTGATGATTCAGAATATAAAAATGTAATAGAATAATGCAGTAATCTGTAGCTTTTTTTTAGCTTAAGTTATTTTTTTGGACAACACAGATGTTTCTTCTATGTTTTTATTGCATTGCTGGTTTTCAGAATAGTGCAAATAAACCTTTCTCAAAGCATTTTCATTTGTTAGTTAACATTTCTTAACATTAACATTTTTAACAAATGCTTTCAAAAAGTGATGTGGACAACATCTGCCATTTCAAAAAGTGGTGGGGACATGTCCCCAGCGTCCCCAGTGTAAATGACACTATGACCCTCCCTCCCTGCTCCCTCCCTACAGGCTGAGCTACTCCATGCTTACCGCTTCACCTCCACTCTCCTCCTGCTAACATATCGGTTATTTTGCGCATTTGGTGGCATCCATCTGCAGAATTTTTTTATTTTTTTTGGCCCACAACTCAAGAAACAGAAGGCAGAGGAGGAGGGGGGGGTTTGAGATGTGATTGGGCCAGCCCAATGTCAGTATAGAAAATTACCCAATGTGCTGCGGTACATGCTTTATGGGCCGACCATTGGCCCATTTTTTAAAACAGTTGAATAAATAAGTAATTTATGTTACACTGGCCCCAAAGTTTCGTTGGCCACAAGGCATTTACCTGGTATGCCAGATTACCAGTCCACCCCTGATTCTATCCATAGAGAAATGCTGCAAGCAGGTCTCACATTAGAATGACTTTACATCCAAGTTTCTGATGTTTCTAATGGTTTCCAATCGATAAGACTTCTGGAGAGCCGTGTGTTTCCATCTCAGGCCTACTCACTGCTCTGAACAGAATGAGGAGGAATAAGAAGTCCTTCATGATGATGGACTCCAGTAGACTGACATAAAATAACAGAAATTAGAGACACCTGCAGTGTGTGAGCTCTTGCTGTCTGTCCAAACCTGAGAGTGTCCAGTCTCCAGTGTGGCTCCTCCAATCCAGCAGACAGCAGCTTCACCCCTGACTCTCCTGGATGATTGTAGCTCAGGTCCAGCTCTCTCAGATGGGAGGGGTTGGAGCTCAGAGCTGAGGCCAGAGAAGCACAGCCTTCCTCTGTGATCAGACAGCCTGACAGCCTGGAATCAGGAAAACATCATAAACTCTGTGTTTTAGAAAATCATGCAGCAGGAAAATCCTACAGACCATTTTCACTAACATGAACCTAAAATCAGATGAAGAGGATTTAAACGAAACAGCTTATTACTGACCTGAGAGTTTCCAGTGTACAGTGTGGACTCTGGAGTCCAGCAGACAGCAGCTTCACTCCTGAATCCTGCAGGTTGTTGTTACTCAGGTCCAGCTCTCTCAGACTAGAGGACTGGGAGCTGAGAACTGAGGACAGAGCTTTACAGATTCTCTCTGAGAGGTTACAGCCACTCAACCTGAAAAAGGATTAGCAATGGACACAAACTAAATGTTTTATTTGTCAAATATACAGTTTTAGAAATTGCACATCCATTTATCCACCTACAGAGCTTTGTTGGAGGCTTTGACCACTGGCAGCAGCCTCAGAAGAGCCTCCTCTGAAGCAGAGTATTTCTTCAGGTCAAACACGTCCAGATCTTTTTCAGATGACAGTAAGATGAAGCCCAGAGCTGACCACTGAGCAGGAGAGAGTTTATCTGTGGAGAGACTTCCTGAACTCAGGGACTGTTGGATCTCCTCCACTAGAGAACGATCATTCAGTTCATTCAGACAGTGGAACAGATTGATGCTTCTCTCTGGAGACAGATTCTCACTGATCTTCTTCTTGATGTACTCAACTGTTTCCTGATTGGTCTGTGAGCTACTTCCTGTCTGTGTCAGCAGACCTCGTAGGAGAGTCTGATTGGTCTGCAGTGAAAGACCCAGGAGGAAGCGGAGGAACAAGTCCAGGTGTCCATTTGGACTCTGTAAGGCCTTGTCCACAGCACTCTGGTAGAGATGTGTTAGTTCAGGTTTGTCTCTGAAGACTTTAGACAGCCGGGAGGTTGATTGTTTTTCTGCCAGCAGATTGACACCAGAGTTGATGAAGGTCAGATGGACATGAAGAGCAGCCAGAAACTCCTGAACGCTCAGATGGACAAAGCAGAAGACCTTGTCCTGGTACAGCCCTCTCTCCTCTTTAAAGATCTGTGTGAACACTCCTGAGTACACTGAGGCTGCTCTGATATCGATGCCACACTCTGTCAGGTCTGATTCATAGAAGATCAGGTTCCTTTCTGCAGCTGCTCAAAAGCCAGTTTTCCCAGAGACTCAATCATCTTCCTGCTCTTTTATTCCAGTGTGATCTGTCTCAGCTCCTCCATCATACTTGACTTTCTTCAGTTTGGACTGAACCACCAGGAAGTGGATGTACATCTCAGTCAGGGTCTTGGGCAGCTCTCCTCCCTCTCTGGTCTTCAACACCTCCTCCAGAACTGTAGCAGTGATCCAGCAGAAGACTGGGATGTGGCACATGATGTGGAGGCTTCGTGATGTCTTGATGTGGGAGATGATTCTGCTGGCCTGCTCCTCATCTCTGAACCTCTTCCTGAAGTACTCCTCCTTCTGTGGGGCAGTGAACCCTCTGACCTCTGTCACCATGTCAACACACTCAGGAGGGATCTGATTGGCTGCTGCAGGTCGTGTGGTTATCCAGAGGCGAGCAGAGGGAAGCAGGTTCCCCCTGATGAGGTTTGTCAGCAGCACATCCACTGAGGTGGACTCTGTAACATCAGTCAGGACCTCATTGTTGTGGAAGTCCAGAGGAAGTCGACACTCATCCAGACCGTCAAAGATGAACACAACCTGGAACTCTTCAAAGCTGCAGATTCCTGCTTCTTTGGTTTCAGCAAAGAAGTGATGAACAAGTTCCACCAAGCTGTACTTTTTCTCTTTCAGCACATTCAGCTCTCTGAAAGTGAATGGAAATGTGAACTGTATGTCCTGGTTGGCTTTGTCTTCAGCCCAGTCCAGAGTGAACTTCTGTGTTAAGACTGTTTTCCCAATGCCAGCCACTCCCTTTGTCATCACTGTTCTGATTGGTTCATCTCTTCCAGGTGAGGCTTTAAAGATGTCTTCTTGTCTGATGGTTGTTTCTGGTCTGTCTGGTTTCCTGGATGCTGTTTCAATCTGTCTGACCTCATGTTCATCATTGACCTCTGCAGTCCCTCCCTCTGTGATGTAGAGCTCTGTGTAGATCTGGTTCAGAAGGGTTGGGTTTCCTGCTTTAGCAATCCCCTCAAACACACACTGGAACTTCTTCTTCAGGTTAGACTTGAGTTTACGTCGGCACACTGCAGCAGCAGTTCCTGAATGAAGAAAGAAGAAATGTGATTAATAAGTGGATGCTACAGTAAATCTGATAAATGTAAACTTTAAGACATCAAGATGGTATTTATTTTTTTTTTCCTCCATGAAATCTCTTCAGCTCATCAGCTGTGAACAGTTTCTGAGTTTCAGCCCAGAAGAATTCATAGATCTGATCCAAATGTGTGCATCATATTAACAGCAGAGTTTGAAATGGAAACTTCTCCCATGTTGCCTCCATTTCCTCTTTCCATCATGTTAAATCTGTTCAAATCCTCTTACTGCTCTGCAGACGCTCAGCCAGCTCCTCCTGCTTCATTCTCCTCAGGAAGTGCAGTGTGATCTTCAGAAATGCCTCTCTGCTGCTCCTCCTCTGCTCCTCCTCCTCACCGTCCAACACCTCCTCATCTCCCTCTGACTCTCTAAGCATTCTGGGTAATCTGGACTCAGAACCTCTGGAACTTCTTCACCTCGTTCTTCACAAACCTGCCAATGTTTTCCTGGAGCAGCTGGAACAGAAGAAAATGTAAAGTTGAACTGGTAGAAGTCAACATCAGATCATCTGTGACAGACAGAAAGCCTGCTGGTCTGCAGAGTGCAGCATGGAGACTGGATCAGAATGCTGCTTCACTATTTACTTTGTGGCTGTTGTAATTAGCAGTAGTAGCTGAGCTTGTACATTTACACACCATAAATATGGAGTCCAGGTCTGTTTGATGCTGCTGGGCAGACTGACCACTGGGAACCTCTGAGCTCTGCTGATCAACTCTGTGAAGTAGAGCAGAAGCAGAACAGACTACTTAACTGCCTGATAAAGACATAATACCCATTGGATGACAGGAAATCCCTCCATTAAAATGTTTACCTAGGATAAGCTGATCTGTGTCATATGATCTGAATACAACAGGTTGATACATATACCCATCTCTCTTTTAATTTGAATCCTGAACAATGTGTTCTGTTTGATGACGTGATCACATTGAGTGTATTTATATAATCCTGTAGTAAGAAACTTAATCACAGCCCTCATAAAAGATGCAGGTTGGGCTGTTAACCCCTTTGTTCTGATGAAATGAGGAAACTCAACCTAACATGCTGACCTTTGATCAGCAGAGTGGTGTCCACCTTTGAAGACAAGAGGTTCCCTCATAGACCAGTCACTCTTGATGGACACACAGCTGGGTCCAGGTCCAGGTCCAGCAGAATCTGGTCCCTGCTGCTGCTCTGGGCTTCATCAAAACATCATACTTCTTCTTAGGATAATTGAATATTAACAGACATTTTACATTCTCACCTTTTCTTAGCAGACTGCTGTCCACCTTTAACCTTACAAGGTTCAAACCTCAACCGGAGATTCTTAACGCCCTCGATTCCAGGTCCAGGTCCAGGTCCAGCAGAGTCTGGTCCCTGCTGCTGCTCTGGGCTTCAACACAACACACACAGAGCTTTGAGAGTGAATAATGATGGTGGAGTGATTTGAGTCCTGGACAGTTAGAGATCCTCATCTCACCTCTGAGCTTTGGTCTGGCTGTCATGTTCCCCACACAGAGTGCTTTTAGAGGGAGGGACTCCCTCCTCTCTGTCCTCACACTGATTCATAGCAGAGCCCACCCTTCACACAAACACAACAACATGCTGAGAGAGCTGCACTCATTCATTACAACAAGCTTTACATCTCTGGACACTTTAGTTCTCCTCAAGGTCTGTGTCTTTAAATCTTTATTTCTGTCTTTAAATGTTTAAATCATGACCAGAGAGACACAGGATGGCTGATTTACTTTGGTCCTTCTCTATTCCTGTGAGGGCCCCTGATGGCTGAGGGGCCCTAATCAACCTCTAAGTTCCCTCCACCCTGGGCTGGCTCTGGTCCATCTAGAAAGGATCCTGGAGCCTCTGGTACAGCTGAGACCTGGGGCCTCATGTATAACGCTGCCTACGTATAAAAAGGTTACGTACGTGGTTTTCACGCACACGGGGATGTATAAAATGAACGTGATGTGAGAATGTGAAGTCCCTCCACAAACTTTTGTCTGGCTGTCAGTAAACTGCTAAAGTGCCAAAACTCACCAAATGTTTCAAATAGTGTTTCCACTGCAATTACTGTGCAGATGTCAATGGAGTAGTCTATCAAAATCCTAATTATGTCTTTGACAAAGGTTTGATCATGTATGTAGTGGTTTATATCAAAATAAAATTGAAGTGAGAAAAATAGTCATGACTTTCACATATTAATTTCACTCATTTCACATGTTACCAATTTATCATGAAACATTCAAACCAGCAGTGTATTTGTGTTCGCACTAGTCAGCCAAACTATTCCATACTGCACCTTTCAATTGGAAAAGAAATAAAATAGCCAAGTGCCAACTGCAGGCTGCCTTTCCCCGGTATTAGCCGGTGTGTTTACCTGAGGGGTAGGCCTCTTTAATAATAATGTTCGTTGTGATTAAAACCTGCTTTCACATAGCGGTATAATGTGAAAAATTTAGTTTTTTTTTTGACGGGGGGACGGGGTTTTACAATCACAATGCCATCGCCGATGGCTGACAGATGGCTTTTATACATGAGGCCCCGGACTGTTCTAAAAGGGTCTTCAGTGAAACCAAGTCCGTCTCAGTGTTGGAAGATGTCTGTTATTTGAGCCGAACTCTTCATCCATGCACTTAACTCAGAGTATTAACAGTTAAACCAGAAACCTGAGCCAAGTGGATCCAAGCTGTCGACCAGTTCAGACACACCCTGCATGTTTCACTGATGATGTGAGCTCGACTACAATCAGACTGCTGCTGATTCTACTTGAGAAACATGAACAATATTACAGGGAAATCTTTCTGAAATCATTGTTCTTTAACTCGGAGAGAAATTCTACAGCAGATTTCAAAGAGATATTTAGAAACAGCCAATCAGCATCAAGAAGCATTTCTACGTCCAGTAAACAGTGATCCAGCACAATGTGATCAAAGTGATCCTGATTATCAGACATTTACAGATTCCTCTGGTCGGAT